GTCAGGGCCAGTTCCAGGAGGAAGGCTATGACCGGCCTTTCTTCCGTCAGGTTGGTTCGCAGCGGTCTGGACGGCCTGAACTTGGTGAGCTGTTCCTGATCTAGCTTGAGCATAGCCGCCAGGTGGGTGGAGACAACCTTGGGCGAGAGAGGAGGGCGTTGGGCATCGATGACTACCTTCCGCTGTTTGGCGTCCCATCTCATGTAGTTCCAGTAGAAGGCAGGGTTCTCGTCCGTGTGGTGTCGACCTCGGGAGGCGAGTGCTCCTGGTAGAGAGATAAGTGCTGATTCCTTGTCCTGGTTCGTGCTGTCATAGGCGGCGTGATCGAAGCCCTGGGCTCGAGTGTGCAGCTCGTGAAGGAGACCGATGAACAGGGCGTGGCGAACAGGCGTGCCAGGGGAGTCCTGGGGCTGGTCCGACTTCCACTGTTGCTGGATCCGTGCCAAGGAGGGAACCACACTGTTCGCCTGGTGCACCGTGGCGTAGAAGATCCATCCATGATGGTATCGCAAAGCTGTCAATTCATCCTCGTGATTCAGCAGGGCCAAGATGATGCTAGCCAAGAGGTCAGCGGTTGGTTTGACCTCCTGCTTTGATTGCTGCGGACCGTTGCGCGAGGCCCTTGGTCTGGAGCCATTACGGCGACCAGTCCTCTTGGGCCTCCTGGATGGTGAGGGCAATCGAGTCGGCGGCATTTCCTCGTCCTGCTCCAGATCCTTCTGCTGACGGCGCTGTTTGGGAGGCCTGTCCCTGTCGTGAGCAGGGACCAGTTCTCTGGACGTTGAACGTTCATCAGGGCCAAATGCCCGCGCAGCCATGGATGAAGCGGCAAGATGGGGGAGGTTCTTAAATAGCACTTGGCATAGTGCGGGGTTGTTCAGCAGCTCCTGCTGGGCTTGCTCCATAGCGCTTAGGGAGGACACGCATGGTAGCACAAGTGAAAACGCTGCCCGTTCACCTTCAGGAGGGGACCTCACACGAAGATGAATGGGACTTAACTTAAGCGTTGGAGGAGCAAAAGGTAAGCTCCTGACCCGATCTGTGCACGTTCCTCGCTCGTAGGCGAGAAGCCTGGGCTGGAGTCATCACCTACCTGCAGAGAAGGAAGCAAGGTGAAGGATCTGTAATGACCTGAGGTGGCTTCCTGCCCTATGTGAAAGACTCCCGAGACGGATCTGTAGCGAACAAAGGATTGAGAGTGAGGCCCTGTCCATGCAGGCAGCTGTACTTCGTCCTGCAAGCCCGTGAGTCTCCAGTGCTGCTTCGCTCCGGCATTTGTGAACCTTGGCAGAGACACAAAGATATAAGGAGGTGTATACAACAGTGCCGCCTTCGAGTCATGTGGAGAGTGCCACTCGTGCACAAAAAAGGACAGTGAATAGGCTAAGATGGGCGCCGCCTGGGAGTCAGGCTGGGACAGCCTGGTCGGGTCGGTGCCTTCCGGGAAGGTTAGTAGAAGGGGGGAGAAGCCAGTTGAGTCGGGTATGTCTGCATCATAGACTCTCTTCCAGGGGGTACCTTGTAAGGAGCCATGGTGGTTAGCCAACAAAAACGTCAAGTACTCGAGTGCATCGCTTTGCCTATTAGCAAGCCTCCAGTCAGGATGACAATGCGGGAGCGATTCTAGTGCAAGAATAGAGACTGGGTGCGAGGCCCTTGCTCGAAGTTCCCTCTGGAGAGGGTGAAGGTTCGACCAGTCCACTGAGGGTTCTTCCCTCAGAGCGCTAATCATCTGCAAGACTGAAATGGCGTAGCACAAGTTATGAGGATTAACTGTGGCATAGGCTGAGCTGCAGGAGGCGGTGGCGGAGGAGAGGCATCCAGGTCTGTCGGTGCTGGCTGAGGAGGTCCTGCGCCCGGCTGTGCAGCCTGGGAGGCACTCCCTGGGCGAAACCATCTCTGAAGCTGGCTTTGCTTGGACCTGGGATTGGGAGCCTGCAGGGTCCGCTGTTGGAACGTCGTTGGTTGGGGGGTAGCCTGTGTGGGAGGTTCGTGTTGGTGTGATGTTGTCGTGTTCGGCCTGGGGGTAGGGACCGCAGAAGGAGATGCGCCAGCCCCAGAGGTGGGGGGCGAGAGATGTGAGAGTTGAGTGTGTTGAAGGGACGAGTGCATTCTGGAAAGAGGGGCGTCAGGGTGCAGAAAGAAGAAGAGTTGTAATTAAATGACCGGGCACTGCTTCGTGTGTCGGGGGGCGCTCTCCACTTTCACTCCACAGGCAGGACAGGGGGACAGGCGGGTCAGCACATACATCTTAGAGGTGTTATTCCCCGCAGAAGCCTTATAAGAGTCCCATTCTGCCCCGTGTTTCTTTGTGAGGTGGAAGGCTATTTTTGTCGTGGAGGCTATCCACGAGTCGCAGAGCAGACAGGTCCTGGTGAGTTGCTGGCCAAGGTGGCCGGTGAGGAGCTCGAGGAAGGTCTGGGTTCCGGCCTGTTGCAGCAGTTCGGTGCGCATGCGCGAGATGAGCGGCACTGTGTCTATCTGCAAGGTAAGTTGGACCGAGGGTGCGGCAGTAGCACGGCAGTCTGACGAGGGCACGAGCTCCTGGCTGGAGGAGACCTCACTCGCCTTGGGAGGAGCTTCGTCAGCCTGAGTGGCCGCCTCAGGTCTAGAAAGCTTGAAGCCAGCCTGTCGGCAGACTCTGCGCTCAACGTGTTGTTGTAGATTATGCCAGTTTTTAAATTTCGCCTGGCAGTTTGAGCATTGAGGCAGGCCTCCCACGGAGTGCTTTAGGCGTGAGAATTCAAGGGGTGGCGGAACAGGAGCCGGATGCTTGACTGTCCGGTGTGTTCTCATGCCCGCCGTAGTGCGAAATACCTTGCCACAGCATGTGTGCATGGGCACGTCCGGAGAAGGGTCATTGTCGACCTCCCTGAGCAGCTTGCTGTAAGAGGCTACAATTTCCTCCGCCGTTTGCAGGGTGGAGGGAATGGTTAGGATATCCTCACTTGGCCAGGCGCCGGACTGGGTGAGGAGCGAAGAACTCGTGTTGGCCGGCGTGGATGTTGAGCAGGAGGTGACCTCACTCGCTGGTGCTGCATGCCGGCGCTTGCGAAGGGAGTCTAGGCGCTGGGCTGAGCGATCATGAAGCTGCTGAATGGGAGAGACGAGTTTAAGACGTGCAAAGAGCTCTGCTGTAGTTTCACGAGTTTTATGCACAGGGTTGTGTGTTACAGCTCGCACCTGTCTGGCATGCCATGAACGGAGTGCCCGTGCCCGCCTTCCTGAGAGACCGACGGATTCAAGTCCAAAAGTGGCCGTGGACCAGACGGTGGCTCTCCAGACAAGCAGCCTAGATGCGGTTTTTGTCCTGCGCTTATTGTGAATGAATTTGCGCACAGTCTGTTTTTTCTTCGCCGCTCTCTCTTGTCTTAAGGAATAAGTAAGATCTTCCGGGTTTGAGTAGCTGACCATAACCCCTAGATACTTGAAGGAGTCTACCAGCTCGAAGGAAGGAAGGGAGGGGAGAGGGGGAAGAACAGAGGAAGTCGAGAGCAGAATTGGCCGTCTTGGTTGCTCTGGGGCATCTATGTTCCAGACCGTAACCTTCCGGCCTGAGCGGAGCTCCTGTGACTTGAAGAGCTTCTTGGCATGCTGTGCGTGGCGACCTGCTAGTTTGACCATGATGTTGCACTTGGCATAATTTACTTCTAGTCCGGCTTCTTGCAGGTAATGCAGTAACAATCTGACCATGTCATGAGCCGCGTAGAGATCGGACCAGTTGTGGATGTCACGGTGAATGACGAGGTCATCCGCAAAGCCTGTGAGGAACTGCTGTATGGGAGGGAACCCTATGTGGGTAGCCATAAGCCGGAACGCCTCCGTGATGACCAGGGAGAAGAGAGAGGGGGCTAGTTTGCAGCCTTGCTTTATACCTCTTGTTGAGGTGACTGTGTCCTGGCTTCTTCCATAGCGCAAGTTATACTGGGCTTCCCTATTAAGGGACGCAACCAGTTCAACGTCTGCGGGTGAGGCCCCGTAAGTTATTAGTGAGCGCAAGAGAGCCTCTCTACTTGTTTTGTCAAAAGCTTGAGAGAGGTCTAGTGAGAAGGTGAAGCCTCCAATCAGATCTGGCTTACCCTTCTTGCGCTTGGGAATGCAGAACCTGTCCGGTGCTCGGGATCGAAGCATGGCTCGGACACGCCTTGCGTGGCCAATCACCCGGAGTTGGGCGTCGGCGATACCGCGGCCTGGAATATAGGCAAATTGAGGGGAGGCAAAGTGGGCCTTCTTAAAAAGGGGGTCAAGCCGTCTCCTAGCCTCAGAGGCTATACCTTTGCCATCTGGCCTAATGATGCCTAGCGGTCGCAAGTTCTCCGGCTTAGAGGCAGGTTTAGAGGGCTTGGGTATGAAGCTGAGGTCTGCTGATTTGGCCGTTGTAGGCAGCGAGGGTGGCTCGGCTTGATTCAGTGGTGCTGTGTTATGCCGAGGTTCGCTCTTCCCCTGGCAGGAGGTGACCTCGCACGCCGGATGGGTCAGAGCGGGAGACAGAGGCACCGCTTCAAGATAGTCACAGTAATTATCGGCCACTGTTGAGGCACAAAGGCGGTACATGGATGCTGGGGCAGATCCTTGCGGTACTGCCTTTTCCGGCTTTATAGAGGCTATGCCTTTTGCCAGACTGCTTTTGTCCAGCTTGGGCAAGGCTTGGCCTACCCCACTGGCTAGGGGGGGATGCGAGGAGAAGATGGAAAGACTATGTCTCTTTAGCTCGGCTAGCCCCTCGGACTCAGTTAGGATACGGCCGCATGGCGATCTGAGGCAGACTCTAGGTGCAGGAGACCAGGGAGCTACATGTTTTAAAGAGCGATATGCCGCATGTGGATCTCGCTTGACCTTCTCAGAAATCTCTGTCAGAGTGCGATGAGTCCTTGCTCGGGCCTGATTTTTTATCTGGAGGGCATGTGTCTTGGCTGCCTCGTCTAGTGAGCGCTGAGCCTGTTTGAGGTGCTCGGTGCGGGCCATCTTATTTATGACGTCATCCTCACGTCTTAGGTTCCTTAGTGCAGTCTGCCGATTGTTATGAAGCCGCCACAGAGGTTGTGCTGTCGGAGCCGCGTCTGAGGTGCCTGCTCCTGGGTCCCTCGGTTGGAAGGTCTTGGCATGTTCGAGAAGAAGCTCGTTGACCTCATCAGGGTGAAGAGGCTCTCCATTCTTCTGCGCTCGGAGTTTGTCAACGTCCTGTGCAACTTGGTCTCGCAGGGTTTTAGCCAGAGGAGTATTTTGTCTAACATGTTGAGCCAGTAGGGACTTTTGTTTAGAAGGGACTACTGGCTGAGTTTTGGTCGAGAACGGTTGTCTCCAGACCTTCTTGAGCGGTACTGCCGTCCGGAGTGGCGTGTGTTTGCCGCCTTTTCTCCATGCTCCTAGCTTAAAGTCCTTGAGGACACACACTTTGCGGGCTAGCTGAGCAGCATAGAATTTGGATGTCAAGATGAAATCTATCTGAGAGCTGCCCTGTGGCGAGGTGAAGGTGTTTGCCTTTCGCCCTTGCCATGTGTTAAGCGCAACTAGAGAGTTTCGCTGAAGAAACTTCTGGAACTGCTTCTGAACCGGTTTGTGCTTAGAAGACCCTGCCGGTACCACTCCCCCTACATAGGGGGGATTAGGTTTTAGGGACGAGTTGAAGTCGCCCGCCAGTACCGGAACAGTGCGCTGTGATAGGTTGGAGAGGGACTTGCCTAGGGAGGAGAGAACTTTGCTCTGGGTGGCATAGTGGTCTTGCTCCGTCATGCCCCTCTGCTTAGTGTACTGATAGCAGTTGAGCAGGAGCACTGGGTGACCTCGGACTTCGCAGTGAACCTCGTGAGCACGGCCTGGGTGTAGATC